GCAATTTTTTTTAACAATTCGCAAAAATTAGTGAAAAAAAAGAGCTGAATCGTAATAAATAGTCTTTTAACAAATATTTGATGAATTTACGGCCATTTTTATATCTTAAAACGTAAAACGTAAGTAATTGATAAATATTAACCAATTATGCTATTTAAATTAAACTTTCTTATTTACTATCGATATAATTCTCTACAACAATAACTTTTTCAGAGTTATTATGATTTCTGACTAAAAATAAATATAAACATAACACACCAATTCATAAAAAAACAACAAAACTTTAATCAAAATAAATAAAAGATTACATTATTAGATAATATATTGCAAATTTAATAAAAATCTCAATAGTCATAAATAAACAAGTTGATAAATATTAAATTATTTCGACTTTTATACAAAGCAAATTAAGATTTTATTTTATGACGTAACTAACGTGACATTAACATGTATACAGGTACAATTTATTATTATATTATTGTTGTGCCGCCAATTTTAAATTAAGCGGTACGGCAGTGATGACGTTTTTTATCTATTACGTCACTAGCGTGCCCGTAAAAAATAAATTGCAGGCACTCTAACGTGCACCTAGTCACTTCGTACTTTGTTCTCGGACTAATAATCACTAAATACAACAAACAATACATTTTGGGGTTAAGTATAACATAAAGCATCAAACCCGTTTACAAAGACAATAGAGTCGCTAACGTCATACTAATTAACTAGAGCAATCATAAAATTGTAACAGTTGCTTTCCCAATAAAATAATTATCATTATTTTTTTACTTATGTTCGAATATGCCATCAAAATATTATTTAGTGCAATTATTCAAATAGCAATTTCTACTTATACAATATTGAAGCAAATGAAGTTGACAATAAAAACAATTTACTTTTTCGTTAATTTAAGAATTTTGTTAAAAAAATTGATTAACCTTCATTTATATTTATTGCTATATTACGGAAATGTTGAAAAATTGCAGAATCTAAGTTGCAATTGTATATTTGTTGTTTTTTATAAATTAATGTGTTTTTTATATTTATTATAAGTCAAAAATCATAATAACTCTGGAAAAGTTATTGTTGTAGAGAATTATATCGATAGTAAATAAGAAAGTTTAATTTAAATAGCATAATTGGTTAATATTTATCAATTACTTACGTTTTAAGATATAAAAATGGCCGTAAATTTTTGTTAAAAGACTATTATTTACGATTCAGCTCTTTTTTTCACTATTTTTTGCGAATTGTTAAAAAAAATTGCAAAAAAAATGTTCATTCAAAAAATTGAACTTTGATGACTCCTACTGGCGAACCACTACGAGTTACACAAAAAAACACAAAGACAATTTTGAAGAGCGTGAAATTCCCTATAAGGTCCATAAAACCGATTCACAATATTGTAAAGAGCGGGCGAGCATTAGAAATTTGAAGAAAAAAACATTTTTTTTACATGCATTTTAAATGGGAAAACTTTAAATTTAAACTGCAAGTACTTAAAATTGATATTAAGAGCTCTACCTTGGTGAACATTTTTTTTTCTATAGGTAGATTAATATTTTGCTTGAGCGCCGAGAAAAAAAAAGTTTTTTGCGGAAATGAATCACCCTAATTACAACCCCCCCTATCCATTTGAAATTTTTAAGTTGATACTGCCCTCTTCGCACTCCTTAAAAAACACCTATCAAAAAGTAGTATACTTAATACCTTTTTTCGTTCAAAAGATAACAGGGGGGACTTTAACGTGCGCACTGTATATTCGATAATATTTAGTTAGTAGATTACAGTTTTTGACACCTGTAGGATGGTTTCCGAACACAACTTCCCAAGATCAAAAATGCTTGACTCGCCCACCACCCCCTTCAATTTTTACCATTTATTCCCTAACACCTCGTATATCAAAATAGGCTTACACAATGATAATAATAAAAAAAATTATAGCCACAGAATGCCATTTTGGTTTTTTTGTAAAAGGTTAGGTGTGGTGTAGGGTGTAGTTATGTCAACATTATGACTATGTCATACTTATAATAACAAGTACATAGTGTTATCAGTTCACTAGCTATTTAAAAAACCGATTTATCTTTATATTTATTAAATTTACATAAAAGTCATATTGTACATTATATATTTTTTCATACCTATTGCGTAGATATTTTTTTAATATAGGTATATATAGAAAAATAATTAATTTTTAATATTTAAACTTAAAATTGAAAAAAAAATATCGAGAACGTTTACTGGGATTATATTTTCCACTTTGCGACATAAACAACTCTCACGCATGCAACAAGAGGAATAGAGCGCTGAAACATTATACACGCATTTAATACATGACAAGTATTACACTGCGCACCATGATGATCATGACTGCGCACTTGGGTATAATGCAACACACAAGCTTTAAGCTAAAAATTTGGTGGGAATTATAGCCCCCATACCCTATAAAGGGTTAAAATACAATTAAAATGCATTTTGTAGTTACAAAAATCTATTCTCCACAGAATTTTTATACTGATAGCATTATTTTAATGTGTAAATAATAAACACAACAAAAAACAAACATACTTGATTTCTTGCATTTTAACTAAAATTTTTCTAAGGTACATCCTACATTTTTCAGCCGATTTTATTAAGAAGTGACTTATTTGCTTTAGATATCGTCCAATTAAAACGGTCCTAAAAATATACTGGGCATAATTCATAATAGTTTTACTGTTTGTAATTTTTAAATTTTCTAAAAACGAAGCTAAATCAACAATAACTTTTAAATAACTAGAGAACCAAAAATCTGATAGGGAAATGTTAAATATATTAATGATAGAGAATTTATTTACCTTTAATATACTATTATTATAAAAGATAAAAGCGCAAAATCTCGAGTTAATACTTTATCTGACATGTTAGATAAACATCACTTTCTACCAATTTTTGTTAATAATTGAGGGGCTTGGAAGTAAAACGGTTCAAGTGCACTTGATGATGATAAAGTGCAGAATATCACACCTAAAGAATATTTTAACTTAGTGGTAAAATTATATAAGTACATTTTACATTCCCTGGCGCCATTTCTTATCGTCTTTAAAAACCTGTCAAAATATTTTAAAATATATCTTTGGTAAAACGATTTAAGTGCACCTTTTACTGCTATAGTTTATAAACATAGGCTATTATCTATGCTGCTAAAACCTTGACAAGTATTTTAAAACATGTCAAGTGATTACGTGTTTTCACAAATATTTTTCAGTGTTAGTCCCTACTGACATTGATCCGACGTCGGAATATATAAAATCCATAGGATGTCGGCCAGCAGACGTCGGACGTATGTTCGCACAAGCGATTCTGATTATGAATAATACTTTTTGTTGTAAAACTTACCCAAATTTTAAAAACTAAAGTTTTGTTCTAGTAGGTACAGTAATTGCATTTAAATCATGTTACCACTAAATTTTTTCTTACATGCATGACGATTTAAGTACATTTTTGTAAAAAAAATTAACAAAAAAGCTAAATTCAAAAATTCCGTTTTCTTTATAATCCTTTTTTGTCTTTAAACAAAACTAAAATATTCACACAGTTTTTTAAACTCTTTTCTAGATTTTTAAAATTCAAGTTAACTTTAAAGCCATTTATCTCAGAACTAAAAATGCACTTAAACCCTTTTACTTCTAGGCCCCTCAATTATTATAGTTGCCTTCTTCCAATGTAAAACCTGATTGCTCGGATTGGTCCAAATTAGGGATGCACCGGATCGGGTATTTTGCCGGACCGGATCGCCGGAATTCCGGCCGGATCGGGACCTAAATTTAAAATGTATGTGCATGCCTATTTTTATACGTAAAACATTAAAAATATTGAGGCTGATTTTTTTTTATTTTTTTTTTAAACTAGCTACAGTAGAGTGTTTATTACTATTAATTTGGAAAGAAAATATATTTTGTTCAAAAAAAAATTATTTGTGATTAATTAACGACTTAACAATAGGTAAGTAGGCACCAATTAAAAAACCTTAAAATAATTTTCTTTATTTTTGCATATATTTTAATTTAAATTATATTAAAAATTTAAAACTTAAACATTTCCAAAAAGTTCCGAAAATTCCGGCCGGAAAGCGATCCGGCCGGAACGGTAGTTCCGGCCAACTGGACGGATCGGCCGGATTTAGTGGTACCCGCCGGAATTCCGGTGCATCCCTAGTCCAAATCACCGTTTATAATGAAACCGGCCAATCACTAATACCTAACAACGGGAATAATGAGTTGATTATGTCCGTTTTTAGGCGGAGCGGTCATAATGCTTATCATTATATACTAAAAAAACAATATTAGGCAACACAGTATGAGATTCGCGTCTCGAGCCGCCAGGCGAGACACATAATTCATCCGAGTGAATAATGCGCATTATCATGAGTGTAATCTATACTTTTTCTACTGCAATTATACAATTTAAAAAAAAAAACAAAAATTTACTCTCTTTCGATTTAAGATCATTATAGTCGCCCCTTGTATACCTATGTATATAATCAAAATACTGATGCCTAACAGCGTAAATATTAAGTTCATTATTTAAGTTGTTAGTGCGGTTATAATGGTTACCATAATTTACGGAAAAAAACAAATATTGTCAATAATATGCAATAGGAGTAGAAAAAGTGTAGTATTACACTCAAAATTATGCACATTATTCGGCATTATCTCTCTACAATATAATATACTACTCCCACATTGACAAGTTGTGACTGTGACTTCATGGCATTTTAGTCATGGTAAAAGCGAGGTTAAATTCCTCTGACAGATAAAATTACTTTAAATTCTTCTTTGTGTTCTTCGTAGATAAAATATAGTATGCAACTCTTTTATAAACTTCTTCAGATACTTGGTTATTAAACATAAAGTTATTTAACACTGACTGCAAGCTTTGCTTGTTTCTAATTAAAAATTCATGACTAAAATTCTGTTTATCAAACTTGTTACATAATATGTTTGTTTATTATTTATTACCTGCTTGTAAAACTGCCATATCTTCCTGCAATTTTTGGTATTCAGCCTTCTCCTCTGTTAATAGTTTCTTTAACTCATTTTGCCGTTCATTTAACAGTTTCCTTAATATACTCTCAGCAGGTGTCTCAATTCCTACTTCAGCCCCTGTCAAATTTCTTTTCTTGCGCTTGGGAGTCTCCACATTTCCCAACAAAGCCCCATATTGAGCAGCACAGTTCTTTTGATGAAACCAATCGCCTGGTCTGTTTGGGTCACCGAATGGCTTTAATGCTCGACTGACAGACATCCAGTTTTGGTCCCCACTGCGTGCTACGGCAGAAGCCAGGCATAATTGTTCCCTTACTGACCATTTGTCTATTGGTTCCCTTTTTAGCTGAAGCCGTTCCTGGATCGATGTCATTTTTGGGGTTAGCTTCGTATTTAGCGCTCAATAACTTAAATCTATTGAAATAGACATTAATATTTATTGATATTGTTTTAGTCCAAGCCAAAAATGGTATTCTTTTGTATTTTCTGTACAATAACAAGTTATAGCCTATAATATATAGGATGTTTGGCTTGGGTTTGATTTATTATTTATGGTTTGACAACTTCTGAAAGTGACAAGCACTTTAACAAACTTAAGAAAAATTAAAACACTATCTCCTGTCCAAGACTTCCTTTTTCTATGACATGTATCCTTGGTAGGTAGGCAAATCGATATTGTTAATTCGAAATAGGGGAAGAAAATTTGGCTTGGAGTTTCTAAGAGGAATTTATCTTTAGTAAGATTCTTTACCTATTGGGCCGCCAATTTTGTGACGTCCTGTGTATAAATAGATAAAACCACTTTGTTACCAACTACAAAAATTCCCCCAAATGTGCAAATTATAAATAAATATTTACTATCGGTAAAACAGAACAGTACTCGGCATTGTTTATATAACTATTACAGCAAAACTAACTTACATATCTTTTTAGCATGTAACCAAAATGAATTCTGAAGCAAGAGTAAGTTATTACATAGACAAATATGGCATGTTCCACAAAATCTTACGAAGAGTTGAAACCAACAATACTCCAAGGCTTTTACTATCGAAACAAGTACAACCTAAACCTTGTTCAACATGGTTAAGGTTAATTGTAATGTTTTGGAATACAAGAGTTTTAAAAGCTGCCCTTAGATTTGGAGTAGCTGCTATAATAATGAACCAGTATGAACGGCTAGGATTTGCTGTTTTTATTTTGTGTTTTGCTGTTTAAAGGTAATTTTTTGTATTCCTCTGTTATTCCACAGAAAGACAAGTATATTTAGGTGACCTATATATGTTAATACAGTTATTTAAGTATATATTATATTTAATTGATTTAAGTGATTTAAGTTGAGACTGTCTAAGATAAGCAATATTATTAACACAGTAAACAAATTGGGTCTACATGTCGGGCAAAAATTGCTTACTTTTAGACCCAGCTTTTGTTAATTGGATAATGTATAATTGAGTCTTGTAGAATCAAAACCAGACATGTCCTTTAGAGGCAGCTGGCATGCTAAGCACTAATGTGCTTACTAGAATATTAAGTAATTTAGTAGATATTTACCACCTTTTTGCTTAGCACAGTACAAGACATGTCCACTTTTGATTCTATTTAATTTATAAATTATGTAAATAAAACCCAAATGAACTGTAAAAATGCAGCTTTATTTGATTAAAACCAAAAGATTATCAACAGTAAAACATTTAAATAAAAAAAAATATTCTAATAGTTGACCAAGAGAGTAGCAATGCGCAATTTAAGAGAGGCACTTTTCTACATTATATGTACATGTACATGTTCTATATTAAGAGTATCTACTGTGGTATTTATGAAGAAGTTTCTTTGTGATTTTAAAGGAATTTTAAAAGAAAAAGTTTTAAAACAATAATATTTAAACTTTTTCCTTGTGTAATTAACTTAAGTTAAATTTATAAATAAAATTGAAGTGATCTTCTAAAATACAAGTAAAATAAACGATATTTTGCATCACTATAAACTTAAAGAAATGTTTCTTTTAAGTAATTTCAATTGACATTTCTGTATGCTTGTGTACAATTTCATAGTAATGCATTACAAATATGTGATTTTGGCCCACAATCGAGCAATTACAGTTATCCCTCTTTTTACAAAAACTTCTCTTACTTTGAGTTAGCTTGTAACTCTAATTATTAACAGGCATGAGCACTTTTGGTAAAATAATAGACTTTTATAGAACTGCAAGTTTTAAATTTCTAATGTGTATATAACTATATTTTTTACAACTAAAACATTTTCATATATTTACTCTACATGTCATATTCATAACAAAGCAATATTTATTTATAATCTTCAGTCTAGGCTAGGATTTCATCATGGCAAGAATTTGTGAAACCTATTTAAAAAAAAGTTATGATATAATTGATATTATTCTTTTTTATGTTCTACTTATTCTAAGTTGCATCAATTCTTAGAGCAGTTTTCAATTCCTCCTATTTATTGGCTATTTATCATCTTCATCCAAATGGATTAGTTTACCTTTACCTATTTTTTAATCTATTGAAAACTGTTCTATCCATGAAAAATAATTAAAAATGTTCAATTTTTATTTTATTAAAAATATGAACAATCAAGATTATTAAAATCAATGCATTTGCCTATAATTGTGCCATTAAAACAAGTAAATAAATACATTAACTATGTAAATAAATAAAGGCTATTTATATATATATCTGATGCAACTAAACTAAAACAACACATACTTAATGATATTTCAGTCAACTACTTTTTAAAAATCACTGTACAATAGTAAAAACAAAGATATCACTAGGTTTCATTACATTAGAAAAAACTTATTGCAATAAAATAATTTAAAAACCTCTTGTTTATAGTTATCAGAATATCCATCAACAATTTTGATGGAAACTTCTATAGACACACGAAGTGGCTTTGTAATAAATAATATTAATGACCTAATAATAACCCTGGCCTACAAAATTTTGTCAGAGATAAAGCTGATAAGGCTGATTTTATTTTTAGGACAAGTTTGTATAGCCAGCGTAAATTATTGTTTAAGAATTTAAAGAAATTTGTTTAAAAATATTTTTGATTTTCCAATAAATATAAACTTTGTACCACTTAATGTTCGCAAGCACACAATAGCTATAAATTAATAAACAATGTCAAATTAGTAAAATTAAACTAGAAGTAGACCATTTTTAATGATAAAGACATCCATATTGTAGATCACAGCTAACAGTGTAGAGTCTCCTTCTGTATATTAATATATTACAAAATTTTGTCAGCACCAAGACCCCTAGGCAAACAGGTGATCCAGTGGCGTCATAACGCCCATGGTCACCTGTCTATTTAAAAGTTTTGTGTAGCATCCACATAAAAAATTAGAATATTGACATCTATCAACGATTCGTAGATTTTTTACATTATTATTGAGTACCCTGAAGATGATTTCCTGTTTTTAGAAACTTTGTTCTTCTATTTTTCCATGCGGATACTTTATTCATTAGCAAGACAGTGTCTCCTGCAAACTATTGAATAAATGCTCTATTTATAATAATTTTAGGCCTATGGTTCTGCTTCTATTAAATCACTTTTAAAATTGTCACTAATTCTCTAGTCTGCAGGATTATGTGTTATAGCAAACAGGTGTTCATTTAACTGAGTGCTTTTTATTAACCACGGTTCTTGGTTATTACTGTTTTCCCGCATTGAGATTTTTAAAAATATTTTAAGTACGATCGGAAATTTTGGTCAAAAATTATTTTTTGATATTTGTGTGGTTAATTTGTTTGGTCTTAAAATGTGTAAGAAGAATAAGAAATGGTGGTGTTGTGCTTAAAATATTTTTAAAATATCATTTTAAACCTAATGAGGATTCATACCTATTTTACATATTTATAAATTACAATAAAAATAAACTTTGTCAGCTAAAAATTAATATATTATATTTGATTTGTATTTATATTGACTATGATGTTATTTCTATGCTATTTGCCAATCATGTATATACAACCATTTTTGTTTATAAAGCAAGATTATGCTTAAAAATTGCAAATTAAATTACATACATCTATATCAATTATATACATAAATAAATCAATGCTAAAGTTATTGTAAATTTTAATGATATGGTTTTTTTTAAGAAAGTGCATTTATACATGTTATGTTAAAATAAGCCAGAAAATGTAGGGTGTCACAGAACCATCAATTACACAACTCTATTGGAAAAGTTAAAATAAATAATCCACTAAGCTTATTCATGTAATTTGGTTGCGTAATTAAAATCAACAGTGGCACATCCCATATTTTATAGAAATATGTTTTTGTTCAAAACATTTTAAAAACATGTAGATTATAAATTATCAATTATTGCTGAGTAGGTAATTTATAAAAGAAAATATTGTGAAAACATATTTTTTATTAACAAAAAATAATCGTAAAAAAATATGTGGATATCTCAAGTTTTAAATCATTTTTAAATTTTTAATGATACTGCAGCCAAAACAAAATTAATAGTCAAAAATAAATTAAATAAAAAAAATCCTCAAAAACCGGGTTCAGGTGTAGGTGTCGATAGGATTTTTAAAATTTACGTTTTTATTTTATTTATATTGAGCACCTAATAATTAAAGCTAAAACTTAACCGTAAAATTTCTAATATTGCACATTACTAGCGACAGTGTCCAAGTTACACGGGGGTATTGCTTAAATAATCAAGACACACACAGCTAAAAGCATCACGCACCAGCACTCGATAACTTCGGTGGCAGTATTTTTGTTCTCGGATGGTCTGTGTTTGACACCACTTTTTTTAAAGTTTACATACAACTGACGATAAACCTACATTTTTTAAATAAATTTCGTAATAATAGTGCAAACAAGTTATAATTATATAAACATGATTACAATGTTGTAAACAAATTCATGAGTGTGTTAACAAGACTTTAATATTTATCACAAGTTTTTAATGATATACTAATGTAAACAAGCATATAAACAATTTACACTTGTGTAGACAGGTTTATATGTAAAAGAAGTTTACAATCGTTTAAACAACAATAATTATATAAACAAAAATATTAAAGTTTAAAATGGAAATTTCAGGTTAATGTTTATTAATAAACTTGCTCAAACGTATTAACAATCGTATACATATCTTTCACTGGTGTAAACAGGTTCATATGCATGCAAACAAGTATTAAATAAAAATATAATAATGAAGTACAGTTGTGTCAAAAAAAGTATTAGTAAAAAGCGCGCAAACATTGTAAAAATCGTGTAAACAAAAATATACACAAGCTTCTTATGATGTAAACATAGGTACACATGTAGGTTTAGGTTTTACCTACAATACTGTAAAAATATTAAGTGTGTAAACTTGATTACAATCATGTAAATAATCTAATAATAACTTGAAAGAAGTTTTAACACACTTAAAATAATGTGAACAAAGCGTAAATATGATTACAATGGGGTAGTTAAATTTTTTCTGACCTATACTTTTTATGGTTTTATACAAGGCGTTTTGTAATTTTAAACATTTCTGTGAAATCGGAACTTCAATTGAGTTTACCGTTTTCGAGATATTTACAAAAAAAAATCTCCTAATTACGTCACTAGGCTATTGACAACGTTGCCAGCTTTTTCTATGGTTGCCAGTGTGTTTAGTTTAAGATTCTTACGATAGATGGCGCCACGTTATAATATTTTAGTTTTAAAACCACTTGATCCATAATTTTAGTTGAGAAGAAGAAGAAGAATTAATTTTTTGACGTTTCTTTTTTTCGGGTTATGTTTTTTTTTTAAATTTAGATTATTGAAAATTAATGTTATTGTTATGTTATTTGTAATTGATATTATATAAGTGATTTATTAATAACGGACTCCAAAGCAGAGGAATCTTGTGGAATGGTTGGTTACATTGAACATTGGAGCTTTTAAACAAATAAAGTAAGTACCTATAATTATTATCATATTTTGTCGTAAATGCATTTCATTAGTATAATGTCTAGTTCTTTATATTCTTTTAGATATATCTTGGACTCTAAAATATCAAACAGTAATATGATACCTCGTAATAAGGAAGATAGGTACTTAATGAATTTGGTGACCATCTTTCACTCAACTGACAGTGACAGTATTTGTACATAACCTCTTCGGGTATTTTCTGACATAACCGAATGAAATCATTAACAAGACAACTTGACAACAGGGTAATTTTCAACCAATAGAAATCTTAGAATGTTGGTCACATGGCGAGGTTTGTGACGTCATAAAAGTTTATATTTTTGTAAATATCTCGAAAACGGTTATCTCAATTGAAATTCTGATTTCACAGAAATGTTTAATATTACGAAACGCCTTGAATAAAACCATAAAAAGTATAGGTAAGAAAAAATTTAACTACCCCATTGTGTAAAGAGATTTATGTATTTGTTTGTAATAAATCGTGTAAAAAAAATAATAGATATGTAATCAAAATTATTAAGAAGCTAAAAACAATCGTGTAATCTATGTCTAATAATGTTTGTTGTCATGTTTATCGTCAGTTTCCATGTGGATTTCGAAGGCGTCGCGTTGATCGACCGTAAGTGCGGCGGCGGCTGCCGCGACTGTCATAACGCGGAGGCGGCACAGGCCGTCCGCCAATGCCGAGAACTAGTGCGTGGAGTGCCGTCATTGAAACGTGGACTCCTTGTGAAAGGTGTCGGATTTGTGGAAGGAGGGTCGGCCGTTCTCGCCGCCCCCTGCGCTGCCTCTCGTTAGCGGCATGTCCTGCGACGCGAAGTTGTTCTCGGACTTGGGCCGCGGCAGTGTCAGCTTCTGCAGCGTGCGGCCCAGTTCCTGCAAATAGGGCTACTTCGATTATTTACAATTATTTGGGAAATGTTTTAACACATAGAAACAACACCGATTGGTCTTTAATGTTGATCGGTTTTGAAGAAATTATAATATAAATATGTAAATCTTATCAATTTTTTAAAAATCATATTAAATTTTACATTTGGGATAATCTTGTCTTGTATGTTATTTGTATAACAAATTTTTTTCGAATGTTTACTTTAATAATGATAATTATACGGATGTGAGTTATCACATTGCAAATAGGTACTTTTCAAAATTGGACAATTTTTAAAACTCCATTTTTATCGTGACTGGTTTATCAATGTAAACTCGAATTTTCCAGTATTCCCAAAGTAAAAGTCGAAAGGAGTCATCGAACGCTATAGAATATACAGGGTGTCCCAAAATTACCGGACCCAACGAAAGGGGTTTTTCCTTGCGAAAATCTAAGGTGAAATTTCCTTTACCATTTTTTTCGAATACGCAGAATTGCAGGAAATGTTTCATTTTTAAAACCACCTATGATAGCGCAGTATTTATGCTCTAACGGACAAGTTTTTGTTATATTTTTGTGTTTGCAAAAGACCCTGATATTCTATCATTGGGAAAAAGTAAACAAAAACAAATTCGGTGCCTGTTTTCACCAGCGCCGAGTTAAAAGGTGGGGCTTGCCCTATACAGCAGAAACACTGCTCTCTCATTTGCAGCCTTAAATGTAACTAACTCCTGCATTTTGCGAATTTAAAAAATAGTAAAGGAAATTTCATCCTAGATTTTTGCTAGAAATCGACCCCTTTCGTTTGGTCCGGTGATTTTTGGACACCCTGAATACAATTTTGGAATTCGTTGACCGATTTTAATATGTATTTCTTTAAGATACCAGGAAAAATTTTAGGTTTTAATTTTTCCAAGAACTGCTAAAATCTGCTAAATGGGTCGAAATTTGTAGATCGACTTTTGAGATTTTTTTTTTCTACAGCATTTGATTCAGACGTGCTTCGGATTTTCACAACTATGAAACTAGAGGAGCACAAAACATCAAAACAGACAGAGTTAGGACCAAAAAGGCTTCTGGAACAATAATACAACAGGGTTTTAAAATCTTCAACGATCTACCAAACTCGATTAAATCCCAAAAATATGAAAAATTTATAAAAAACATTAAAAAAGTACATCAAGGACAATTTATAAATCCATTATATCTTTATTGTATAGATTTCAAATAACCTATACAAAGTATTGAGCTTTGAACTTTGTATAAAGATATTTGAGGCGCGCCTGAATCGAATACGCTATCTATTTGTTTAAATTGCCTAATGGTCCTTCTATACATTTCGACTCATTTGGTAGATCTTAGATCTTGAAAAAAAAAATTGAAAACTTTTACACATGGTAAAATAGCCCAAATAAATTAAAATCGGTCAACGCGTTCCAAAATATTATTTGCAACGCGATTGTTAACATTTGATAATGATATGTGTATGAAACAATTTTTCCGAATGTTTAAATTATATACTTTTTAAATTGATAAGATTTGTAGTTTTTTTCTTTCAATTTGTTTAAAATCGCTTAACATGTTGGATCACCTGATATATATATTTATATTCTAGCAAAATAATATTGGAAGAATTCTTAAAATCTTAAAATATTTTAATAAAAAATCTTGCTTGTACACTACTAAAGTTTTGAGGACAATATTTTAAATCGACCCAAGTTTAATGGAGTGCTTAATTAATAACATTTTTATGATTCATGTTAATGAATGTCATAAGCCCCTGTTCTACCTGCAAACTCCTGTCGCTCGAGTGAAGTCGCGCTACTGATTCGTCGCTCATGTTGACGTGATCGGCCTCAGCGGCGAGCGCGTTCACCACTGCGTTGATCGTTTTGCTCTCAGATCCCAAATCTTCTTCCCTATGCGCCAGTAAGTTGGGATTCTTGCCTATTTTGTTTAACCTTTAACACACAGCAACATTTTCTTTTAGTTATTTGAAAGGGGCAGACAAAGAACCAGAAAAAATAAAATCATTACAAGAACAGTTTATTTCAGGTATTTAATTTCTGGCGCATGTGCAATTTTTGAAATTAATAAAATGATAAACAAATCGTCTCCTGCCCACGATTATGAACTAATTTTTACACGCCAAAGTTCAAATAAGATAATAGTGGATAGATTTTCCTATAATATACCTACAAATAATTAACATGACATTGGAAATAAATTCAGGGCTGAATGTTTATTAGCTCCAATTGACTCTATTTTACTCCGTTTTTAAGCAACAGTTAAAAGTTAACATTCTCGACTCATTGAAACTACTTGAAAGTGCTTCGTGCACTAACACTTTTTTCTAAAAGTTTAGTAGGAAGCAGCGGGTGAAAGCCGTCCAAAGCGAACAAATGTGAACTGGAAAGGTTGTGTCGTCCGTATTGTGCATTGCACATGGTATTTTATTTGTCAACTGCCTTAATAAATGTAAATGTAGCGTTATAAAAACTAAAGAAAGTTTTAATAAGTATTGGGCTGGTTGTATCGCTCCTTAAGAGGATTATATAAGTAGCTGCCCAAAAATTTTACACTATTTAAGTTATCAACACCATTTGTGTTTTTTAGTGAACAAATATTTTTTTGAGTTTTATCCAGGTTAATACTCAATTTATTACATCAGAACCATTCCAAGGCTCTGGACTGTGCCACCGAAGACATCCCCAACGCCCCTGCCAAATTCCCTGCACCGACCGCCACAGTGGTGTTATCGGAAAATAGTGTAAGCTTTGCATTTTTAGGAATATATTTGGACAAGCCGTTCGCGTCCAAGTACAGATCCCTGGGGTATCCCCACAGAAATTGGCATCAGACACGACCACTCACTCCTCAATCTATTTCGATATCTATTTGTAAGAAAAGATTTTATAAGACACAAGCTGTGGCGGTCAAAACCGTAACACAGTCTTGTTACAGTCGAACGCCTTTGACATGCCCAGAAACAATAACACATAGTGTAGCCCCTTTTAAAAAAAGTTAAGCATGTGGTCAACAAAATTGAGTATAACATTGCTTGTGTTTTTTTCCCTGTAAAAACCGATTCCCAATCTAAAAATAAGTTGTTTTGTTCAAAGTAAAGTGTAAATTTTATTGTATATTGCCGTTTAAAATACTTTTGTCTATCATTTAAAAATATTTTTATCCCGGATTTAAAAAGTGGAATTACCTTAGCCTTTTTGAGACAATCAGAAAAGATACCGGATTCCACAATCCGGATTCTAGACTTTTGTCGGATAAATAATGTAATTTATATAATTTTTTTAACAGAAAAACTGACAAGCTGTAATATTTTTTTAAAACTATTTTTAAGGGATTTGATAACAAAAAAGGGACAATATCAAAACTAAAATTCGTATTTATACCAATATTGAAACGTTACGTTTATTGGATCTATGTACAGTGTACATTGTACACTGTACAGTCCGTTCAGGCTAAATTGAGCGCTTTGGTGGGGGAGCATGTGGCCGTTAATTAAATTAAACATCGAATCGCGAGATTTCGGTATCAAGAAGATGATTTATCAGTGCCGCGGCTTGCCGTTTGTTCGTACAGAGCGGCTACCGAAATACATGTATTTAATTGTGCCTGAACATAGAGATGATGGACGGGGTGACATTCCTTAGACCGCTCAACTTAGCCTCAACGGACAGTAACTATCTGGTAAATTAGCTAATATGTCCATAAAAAAAATATTAAAAGAGTTTACTATTTCTTATAAACTTGTCGTTTACCTTTCTTTATTTATTGTTTTTGCGGTAATTGTTTTTTGCATTATTTTTTAGAACATTTTTATGTGCTCTGTCCATGTTTACTAGGAACTTCAGTTCACTATTGAACCATTTTATACCATGTTGTTTAGAATTACTTTTTATTTTATTTTTGGGAAAAGAAAGCTTTAAAACGTCGGTAAAGTCAACTAAAAAGCTCACTCGCTTCAGAAGTAAATTTTTAATAAAGTGGGACCTACACTTTTAATAAAGTGGGACTTTTAACTTCCAACTTAGTTAGAATGCAATGCATGGTATCAACACCTTTTACTTTGATAGGTCTGTACTTGTTTATTATCAGATTTGACTTATCTAGTTAAGTTCTAGTTAGTTTTTCTAATATTAAACTAACTAACTGAAACTTAACCAGATATTAATGAACAAGTTCACGGTGGTCAAAAGTGTCCAAACAACCCTCCAAGTTGATCGTCTCCAAGTGGTCCAAAATGGGTAATTTTACTTTCTTAAATACCTATACATTCATTATCCGAACTCTTTTTAATTTTAAATAAAATTTAGTAGGCGTTATACTCGTTAACGTTAACTTGAATTTTCGTAATACATATAAATACACTTAAATCAGATAGAGTCTAGCCTACAGATCCCAACAAATTTTGGTCATATGTAAATTCAAAGAAAAGTAGCTCGCGTATCCCAGGCAAAATGTTTTCTGGCGATAGTCTTTTAGAATCGCCACAGGAAATTGTTGATGAATTTTCTAATTATTTCAGTGGCGTATACTTAGAGCCACATGATCGAAATAACATCTCCTCAACTACTTGTAATATTATTCAAAGTATACATATACATGAGTTTACTGAAGACGATATCCTAGGAGCATTTCGAAAACTAAAGTGTGGTTTAACTGCGGGTGATGACCTAATTCCAGCATTTTTAATTAAGGATTGCTCTCATACCTTTGTAACGCCAATTTCAAAGATATTTAATCTTATATTAAGAACTTCTGAATTTCCATGTATCTGGAAGTTAACTCGTGTGACACCTGTGTTTAAATCTGGTGAAGCTGCGAACATTGCTAATTACAGACCAATAGCAATATTGTCAAATTTTGCGAAGGTCTTTGAGATCTGTTTATATAGCCGCATCTGCCCTTTGCTGTCATTATGTTTTACTCCCCAACAACATGGTTTTATGAGTAAGAGATATACACTATCAAACTTAACTGTTTTCTCACAGTTTATTGCTGATACTAAATATAATCGTGGGCAGGTGGATGTTGTGTACACGGATTTCTCGAAGGCCTTTGACACAATTGTACATAATATTTTGATTAACAAACTTGGTTTATTTGGACTTTCAGATTCGTTGATTAAATTAATAGCTTTATATTTGAATTATCGTAAATTATATGTTTCGTATCAAGGGTTTAAATCAAAATATTTTGTAGCTACCTCGGGAGTACCCCAGGGGTCAAACTTGGGACCGCTATTATTTAATCTCTTTATCAATGACCTTGTTTCTTTTCGCTGAAGATTTAAAGTTATATCACACTGTACGAGATGTTAAAGACTGCGAGCTTCTTCAGTCAGATCTGAACTTAATTCAGCTGTGGTGTAAGGAAAACTCCTTAGGCCTAAACATATCTAAATGTAAAGTTTGCTCGTTTACTCTTAAACTTAATTCAATTAGATTTAACTATAATATTGAACATGTCTCATTGTCCCGTTCTAGCTTAGTCAAAGATCTTGGAATTATGTTTGATAGTAAGTTTACCTTTGTAAATCATATTCAAAATATTTGTAACTCTGCTAATAGGGTTCTTGGTTTTTTTTATCGAAACTGTAAATCTTTTAAAAATATGTTTGCACTAGTCACTATATTTCAGTTTAGTTCGTTCTAAACTTGAATATTGTTCAAATATTTGGTATCCTTATTATCAGAATCACTGCAAATCACTTGAAGCAGTTCAACGTCGATTTTTGAAAATGTTATATATTAAAAAACACAATACTTATCCAGAGAGGGGATATGAACACAATCTGTTATTGCAGGAATTTAATATTTCAGCACTAGATGTTAGGAGGAATATATTTTCAATTAAATTTTTGTACAAACTTGTCCATAATAAGATTGACTGTCCAGATCTGCTTGAGCGGTTGAATTTTCATGTTCCGCGTATTTATTCTAGGTCAGTTTCAACCTTTAAATGTTTTGCTCGTACAAATGTACTTTTGCGGTCGCCAATGTTTGTTATGTGTACCAACTTTAATAAAATATCTCACGTGTGTGATATTAACTATTCTGAATTGTCGTTTATTATTTGTACTTTTTTAAGCATTAATTAGTTTATTTTTGTTTATAGACTTATTTTACTAATGTATAAGTTATATTATATTTTTGCTATTATGCTGTTACTATAGTTTTATTTTTTTTATTTTTTGTTCTTTGTCCTGTAATTGGAATTTTTTCTGTTGGGCAAATAATTTTATTATTATTATTATTATTATGAAATTCAGTTTGAATCTCAGCTACAGACTTCAAAGCTGGAAAAACAAAACCGGCAACACGTTCTTTGAAAGAAGAGAAAAAGAAAAGCGTTTAAGACATGTTTTTGAAGAAAATAGATCTACGCGTTAATGCAGGAAAACAAGGCGTGATTGGAATACCTCTCGAAAATTATTTTCAAATCGTTCACTAAGAAATATTTAATAAGAAGAAATGTTAAATAAAAAGACTAAAGTGATTCTGGAGGTGATTTTCCGCACCAATTGATACCAACAAGTTTAAGGAGTATTGGTTTGAGATTGCAATTCTGGTCGCAACATTATTCTCGTGGTATTAGGTACCTTTCTGCATTCTCTTTCACTGGCCTGAGATTATTGAATGCGCAGCTCTTTTTATACGATCACTCTCAGAGGAAGCTCAAGAGTGTAGGAACAAAGATTATAAATTCTTCAGAACCCATAACGTTCGGAAATATTCTTACTTAGCTACTAAGAAAGAAGGCATTTGGTTGGTTCAGACTCATTTATCATTCGCCTAAGACCAAGATTTAAGAAAAAAATTACTTACTTACATCCAGTGCTGAAGCTTTAGAATTACTATTATGTAATATTACTGTTATGTATATGTTATATGTAACTGTGTACACTTTGTGTGGCTTTAGAGACAATAAATAAGTTAAAAACTCCCTTGAATCAAAGAATAAAACGGTGACTCATTTCAATTATTATTTACGATAAACTTTCTGTTATAACTAAAAATCGCTTAAAATTAATTAAAAATTGCATGTACAAAATTTTGATGTCATATCAATAATTGTTCCATTGGATTTACATAAAGTTTCATAAGAATTGCTGGCAACTTGAACCATTGAGGGATTGGACAAAACCAGCGCTTTTTTACTACTGTGGGGCACTAATTTAAAAAAATGTCTGTTATAATATAATAACATATTTATGTGTAAGAAAATAGGGTGTCAAATTTTTATTTAACTTTACTAGGTGACTACTAAGGCTTTGTTACATGTTTAATGAAATATTGGATAAACTCAACTCAAGTTATGATTTATTGTAAGAATATAACAAAATTTTATTTATTTTATACTGACAATTGAGCCATATTAGTATCAGGACCGGGAAGTGTCATTCAGTAGTAAATATTACTGTTATGTATATGTTATATGGTTAAAAACAAAATCTTAGTATCTAATAATTATTATTTTTCTATGATTCTGGGCACTGGGCACATAAACGAAGTAGAATTAATCTCTCATTTCCAAACTTTTTCATCTATCATTTACCACTTTATTAAAACAAAAAAGTACACTGCATGTAAAAAACTTGTCTTGTATTGCTTTTAAAAACTATTTTTTCTGGTTTTAAGTCGGGGTGCACGTGAAACCAAACCTTGTTGCGTACGGCAAAATAAGTAAGAAAAAGCTGAGACTGCCAAATCAAATTTTGATGAACTTCATTAAACAACATGTGATTCGTGTGTAAGTGTGTCGTCTTATTAAATTATGCTGCCAGATAAATCGCTCTTGGCTGTTCGATCTAATCATTTTCATATTGGAAAAGAAAATAACATGAAAATTGTGCAATCAAGTGTCTAGTTGTGAGATTACTGCCTTATAAAATTACTAAAGATTTTATTAATATTTTATTAGTTTCAATTGAACATAAAATCAAAAATAAAATATTAATATATGTTTAATTTTTATATTTACTGTGTTTTGTGTAGTGTAAGTTAATTTGCTATACTTTCAAATGGTAAAATATAACAATAAAATTAAAAGAACTAAAAACATACTTTTAATAAAGAAGGTATAGCAAATTTTAGTGCAAACATGAATATCTACATAAAATGTTCATGAAAATTAAGTACCAACCACCACAAAAACACTAAACTAAACACCATTCCAATGATTAATGATTTGATATGATTATGTTCGATTTTCTGTAAAATTTATTTTACATTAATTCCTGGTATATAAAGGCTTTACAAATAAAAGAATATTATTAAAAAACTTAACTATAAAATATAAATCAAACAAAATAAATAAAAATGTAATGACAACAAAATAAAAAGACCAAATGAACTGTGAATAAGAGGTGATCTCAGGAAAATATTTAGTATTTTTAAACAGAAAATCTTGCATTTTTGTATGTACCAAAGGGAACCAACCAACACTCGGGATATGATAGCCCACAGCAAAAAGCGATATATTTCAATATACAGAGTGAATAATACGAAACAATTCCACAACTTTAACTCGTGTACAAAAATAAACCTTAAAATCAAGTTAACTGATTGATCATGTCATGCAATGTATTTTGTTGAGGTCTAAATCTCGATAAATAAATATTATTTATTTTAAAAATTAAACGACCTTTTAAACCAAAAACAAAACTATACTTTTTTTGCTAGGATGCATCAGGGGGAGTTTCATACAATTTGCCACTTTGATTTCTACAAACAGTGGTTTCTTTTGAAAGTACTGGATCCTCTGGCGTATTCTACACCTTTTCCAAATGTATATCAGAAAGCGCAAAATGTATTTCAGAAGAGTCGAATGTATTTATGCCAGTGGCGGCTGGTGGATTTTATGTATACCAATATCTCAGTTATTAGACATGGGACCCACACCAAATTTATAATAGTTTATAATGACATTAAATAAACAAGTTCGGCGCAAACAGAATTTAAATTGAAGTTTGCGAAAAAAAGTTAGTTTTTTCTGTCGCCTCACCCGCCTCCAGGCCCCCCTATTTAGGATAATTTAATTTAAAGTGGTGCAATTTATTATCTACTATAATTTATCGACAAATTTGAAATTTTATTTAAAAAATCCAAATATTACAGATTTTATTCGATTTTAAATTTTTATTATTTATTTTATTAAAATAAAAAAAATATTTAAAATGGTATAAAACCTGTAATATTTGGATTTTTTAAATAAAATTTTAAATTTGTCGATAAATTATAGTAGTTATTAAATTGCACCACTTTAATTTGAATTAACTTAAATAGGGAGGCCTAGAGGCGGGTGAGGCGACAGGAAAAACTAACTTTTTTTCGCAAACTTCAATTTAAATTCTGTTTGCGCCGAACTTGTCTATTTAATATCATTATAAACTATTATAAATTTGGTGTGGGTCCCATGTCTAATAACTGAAATATTGGTATACCCAAAATCCATTAGCTGCCACTGATTTATTAAATGTATTTTAGAATACTTAAATTTATTTCAGAATATTTAGTTAAAGGGTTGGGTCTGCACGGTATCGTGCGATTCAGAGCGTGCCGGCTAACTTGTGCTTACTGGGTTGTTGCTTTCTGATATACACTTAACGCTTTCTAAAATACATGTGACTATTCTGAAATACATTTAACGCTCTCTGATATCCATTTGAATTTTTCTAAAATACAATTGTAAAAGGTGTAGTGTGTGGTGAAGACTGCTATGCTCGGATCAGTTTATTACTTTCAATAAAAAGCACATTCTATAGAAAGTAGCGTTGCAAATCCCCTTGACCAAAACCGAGTAACATACTTGAAAAAGGACAACATTGGTGAAATGTTAAACAAATATTAAAAATATTACCCAATACCAAAACAACACAAAAAGGCTTAAAGTATTTTTTGCCAACAATGGCATTTTCAGAAGCGAGCACTTTGTGTTTTATTTTGGTGTTGGGGAATATTTCTAATATATGTTTACCGCATAACATGGTCATTTTAGCTCTCCGTTTTATGTACCAATGAATAATGTTATGCGCAGCAGTTCATGCATATACTGCGCATTTCATGCCACAAACTGTATACGAGTTAGTAGTATAGAACCGATTCAGCTTAAATACTCACTCTGTACACATTCCGAAATAACAAACATAATTTAATTGAAACCGTCTCAGGTTTTCTTTATACCAACCAACGAACTGACCTCTCCGCGGCCACCGATTCCATCGTGCGGCGCATCAGCGGATACTGGTCTAAGACGGCGTTGAAGTGATCCACGGATAAGCTAAACAGGTTGCAGTAGGTCTCTGCGCGGACAGAGGCGACACGACGAGCGTTTGTCAGCAGACATATCTCGCCGAAATAGGAACCGTCGCTCAGGCTGGTCGCCACTTCACCATTCGCCATTACTATGTCCACTATTCCTTCTTGAATGAAGTACATCTTGGAGCCGATGGTTCCTTCTTTTATTATTATATCACCTAAAAAAAACGAAAAGTTTATTTAGTATTGACATGGTTGACCAATTGACCAACTGTTCAAGTTTATCCTGGTTGAATTTCACAGTGGTTTGTAACCTACCTAAGCCCGTATGAAAATAAAATTAAACCTTATTATTACCCTATTTTAAAATTAATAATTACTTATTATATGGTATACATTATTTATTTTCTCGAGGTCAACAAAAGCTAGATTAAAATGTCTAGGCAATTTAAACCTAAGTTACATTTAACTGCATAGAGCATGTCAATTTAGATTATAAGTTAAACCCTATTATTCCAGTTTCAAAATTTTGTTTTTTCTACTTCCGACAATATATTGTATATATACGTTTATGAAGTTTACTCCATTTGTCTAAACATAAATTATAATTAAAGGATTTTTAACTAAACCATTTAATTATATATAATTAAGCAATTGAATCAAAAAGAGAAGATTATTTTAGTTAATTTATATGGGTGTAAATACTACTATCTACGCTTTTTTTGCAATGGATAAGGTATTACAAAAAGCGTATCATTTTTCCATAAGTAGAAAGAAACGTAATGTGTTCTTACCTGGTTGGAAGACTTCATATTTTAACTTGGTCACCACGTCGGAGACGAAATTGCTGTCAGCATTAGCGAAGAAGGGCACCGATGCGACTAGTGATCTGCAGTTGTAGTTAATGACGTCCTCGCGCAGCTTTTCGCTCAGCTCGCCCAAAATGCATTCTTCGTCAAAGAACTTGCCCTGATACCGGTGTTCGAAGTACTCGGTGATGCGTTGTCTCATTTCGCGCGGCAGCTTTCGGTACGCCATGTATTCTTCCACTTGCTTCACCTGTTTGGTGCAGATACGTAATCGTGCATAAGGCGCTTAATCAGGCTCCGGCTGCAGTTTTAACACGTACGAGCAAACCCTTACCACGTTTTTAATTTTCAAAAAGGACTTTGTGTAAATTTTAATAGTTAAATCTGTATTTGTTTTATTATATTAGAGTTTTATTTAACACTACCCGACAAAGTATTTTTGTGTGTGCATATATGTATTAATAATAAAACACAAAACAACGTTTGTTTGGGATTTTTTTCAGCAATACCATTCTAAAAATTTAAAACTAATAAAATTATTGACAAAAAATACAAATTTTAAATAAATTTTAATTTTTTTAATGCAAATAACTCACCCATACTGCTTCACAAGTAAAAAATATACATTTCGTTTAGCTTCAAACGGAGAAAATCAATAAAGGAATAATAAATTCACTAAAAAATGTATTTATTAATTAAGTTTGAAGACATGATTTTCTTCCACAAACTTATTCGTTATTTATTCTAAACATTTAATTGTTCAATTCGTTTTATCGGTAAATGCATTTTACGTGAATAAAAAAGAAAACCCACAAACACAAACAAAAAATAACTTTAAATGAAACCCAGGATCACATGAAAAAATAAAAAGGAAGATTTACGAGGATTAAAAGTTATAGAAGCAGGACAAATGTCAACTGTAGATAAGACTGGTGACTTCCTGATCGCCCTTTGCAAACTTATATAAATAAGGGGTAAGGTCGGAATGGAAAACACTTCACAAGAAGGTTGAAACTAACCCGACCCAACCCAACCCCACATGTCCCAGATGTAGAGGAGAGGATTGAAAGAGTTTGCCTTCATTGCCTAGCAGAACTTTATAATAATAACTGGAAGGTTCGAAAGGCTTGTCAATAGAAAAACGAGAGGGAGAAAAAGTACGATTAGTTAAACGCGTTCAGTTCCTATCTTTAGTTAGATAACTAGAGATAACTCAGGTTGAGTAACTCAAATGGATAGGTTCATCTAATACTTATAGATTGAAAGACTGTCGATTTCGTTTTTTGGATTTATAAAAAAGTAACTGAGGTTGATAAAAAGACACGTGTAGGCTTCTAGGCCTGAGTAGCGCAGATTTTGCGAATATCGGCGACACACCAGTTGTTAGATCACAATATAATACATTCTTAGGGAACCCTTATCTATAGGTAGCAATAATTTTTTAGAATCCCTGTTATGCATACCTTTTTTTTTAAGAATTGCTTGGTAAAATTACTTGTGTACGTTTTTAACTTGTATGACAGCATAGTTATTTTTTATACGAGTTTTTAATTTTCTAAACTGTTCAGTTGCTGAAAAATTACCATGCAGTGAGAGTGATCCAAATATTCGGCTTTATTGGATCACCCTGCCGAAAATGCCCCTTTAAGAACAATATAAACCAATGGGAATTTATGTTGTAATGTATTGGGTCTTATAGGTTTGGATCTGGTGAATTGGTATCAATTGGAAAACATAATTGTCTTGAATTGGTTTGATTGGGTATTTCCCATTTAGCCCTAAAACCATTTGGCGACATATAAAACCCAATAAAAACCAGTACCAATACACATATTCAGTCCAGTACAAACCATTTCATTCTCTTATTGGTTTCTATGGGTCATTTTCGGCAGGGCAATTAGTTAAAGCGACCCAACCTTATTAATTCTGTATTTAACATAATTTAACATAGCACAAATTTCCTTTAAGTTTTAAAAAATTATAACGCCTGGGCAGTCGTTTTGTTTTAATTTTTACATCTAACATCGGGGTCTTTAGCTCTCTTCCACTGACTATCACTATATTTATTTTGAATTAAAGGAATAGGAATTTATGGAAATGTTTCTTAAGTTTATATAAAATTTTGATAAAGGTAGGTTTGTTTGGTGGTTTTTTGAATGATTTTATAGTGATTGTGGGTATACCCGTTACCAAGGGTAATAGCGGAAGCGTGACACAATGTTTGATTTAAAAATATATATGGTATCGCTTGCCAAATCTTTTGTAAGTAAATCTGTAATGTCTAGGTACGCCGTTTCCATAGAGTTGTTTTTATACATTTTGAGATAAAGAAAGATTATTATTACATACACCAGATATGGCAAGTATACATAAGTATGGTAGATTAAGGTTTTCGATTTAGAATCATGTTGCTAATATTATTAAAAATTCAAGCAACAACCTTTATCCACATAAAAATTATAATAATTATTATTAAGTTAAATAAATTATTACTTAATTATTATACAGCATGCCCCAGACCTTTATACAAATTTCTTTGATCATTTTTAATATAAAAATATCACAATAATTGTGCAATTTAATAGCATATGAGTAAAGGGGTCCTGGAAACTTATTCACAAGACATTAATAATTATTATTTCTTAAAATATTAAGTAGCTCGATTTAATAAATATACAGGGTGTCCTAAAATTGGCGGACCCAAGTGTAAAGAAAAATTCCTCTTGAAATTCCAAGACAAATTTGTATAACTTACATTTTGCGAAATCGTAAAAAAAAGATAAAACAAAATTAGTCTTAAACTTTAGGAGGAATTTAAACACTTGGAACTCAATTTTTGCCAAGCAGCATAGAACTCTTGCTATATTGCAACATTTGTAGGGATATGATAAAATCCGTAAGTATGTGACTATCTTAATTATTATTTGGTAGTGTAAAAAAATGTATTATGTTTACGCAAAATTGCATATATTGTAATGGCACATCTGAACATTGATTTTTTAGAGTGCTCTGCTCAGTAACGAATATGGCTAGCTAAACGAGTGTTAAAAAAGTCACTTGTCATTCACTTCATTACTTGTTAGGTTACTTATAATTGAGTTATGCAAAAAATATTATTTCTATATTGTGATAATTTGATATAGGCACTTATTTTTGTAGCAAAAATTACCTCATCTTTTTTTTAAATTGATGGTCATGATTAGTGATTATAACTCCAGAGTACAAACAATTTTGACTCATTTAAAATTATAATAATTGAAATGTAAATGTAAAAATTAAATTTACACGTAAAAAAATTGACATTGACAAATTGACAAAAGTTTCTAAAGATATTAATTATATTAAGAAAGAATTCCTAAATGTTTCCTTTTTTAATTTATATAGATCTATTTTTTAAAACGAACTAATATTTTAACTATGGTTTCGCGTAAAAATCGAACAAATTTTGGACATTTGTTTGCAAGTGATGCCAGAATTGAATATATTTTTTTAACCTTGTTTCTACATCTAAATGGAGCATTTTTTTCAAAAAAAAATTTTTATCCATTGACCACCGTGGGTTTTAAGCCTTAAGCCACTCTACTGTGTTAAAAATAGATAAATTTCGATATTTTGTAATAACATTTTTATTTAAAAACGTATCGATTTGAAATTAAGATAAAATGTAGACCTTATTAGTGGCAATAAATCCACGTATAATTTTTTTTAGATTTTACCATACAGGGGGCGCTGGGGACAATTTAATTTAAAATTTTACCATTATTTAAGGGTTAAAAAGTCGAAGAAGCAACGTTGTTTTATAATTTTGAGTATATCACGTTAAAGTACTGATAATTAACTATTATTTGATATATAAACTTTTATATGCAAATTATGTTTCTACGACATACGTCATTTTTAAGTTGGGCCTTCAAAGGGCATAATACTAACGTGTTTTACAAAGTATATATTCTTTTATCTAGTTTTATAAGATTATGTATTGTATATTACATATTATACATTATATATTACATATAATATATTATATATAACATACAATTCTTACATATTTATTTTAAAAAGTCGCCATAGATGGAGCTAAAATTACTTTTATTTATGAATTTTAAATTTTTTCAACTTTACTAATTTTGATCATAGTATGCATCGTAGACTTTTCACTATGGTAACCTACAATTGTAGCATGAAATATAATTTGACAGTTCAGTTTATAAGTTGCAAATGACTTTCAATTTATAAGTGTACTATAAACTCAAAACATTAATTTTTTTTAAATTAATAAACTAAATAATAATTATAGACAGTGTCAGCAAGTCAGACATAATAACCTACTTATATCTACTTTAATTTTATTTTTTGCTGCACAACCAAGCTTCAATTTATTTTTTACTCGATAAGCAAGCTTTAATTTTCATTCCAAACTGAGGAAAGTAATATTCACCCAATAAATAAATTAGAATAAAGACTTTATTTTTTATGTTGCAATTGGCTATTTATTGTATATTTTTTATTAAGTTGGTTTTTGCTTTTTTGTAATTGGTTATTTTGCGTTTTTTTATATTTATTATAATGCCATACAGGGTGTTTCTGAAGAAACGCAAATGATATAGATTTGATATTTTAATTGCATATACAATTTGATATAGACTATACAATTATTAATAGTTTTCAAGATATTATTTTTGTTTTGTTAAAATTTTGCTAAATGCACGTTAATCAAAAATAGCATGTAATTTTTTTGGTATTAGGTTTGCTGACATGGGGTTAGAATTTTTGGAATATTAAAACATTGTTTAAATAATTTTTTAAAGGTTTTTCAACAAATAGCTTAAGAAAAAACACTTGGAATTAGGCAAAGTTCAAACAATAATAACGTTTTTATTATAAATGTAAAACCCTGTATGTTTAAAAAAAAATTAAAAAATCTTTCGATTGGTATTATAATAACTGTTTCTCAAAGTTAAAATTTCAGAGACATTTAACAATTTCTAATATTTTTAATACTATTTTGTATCAACAAACCTGTGAAATTATACATGTGGGTTAATGTATATCGTATAGCCATTTTATTAAGAATTTTATGTAGAAATAAAAAATGTAAAAATGGATGAGGTTTACTGTTTACAATAACAAAGTTAAAGACATTTCCGGTAAAACAGGAAGTACTATTTTGTTCAAAATAATTTAGAAACTTATAATGGACCACGAATGTGGAACACCCTGTATATAAAATAATTACCTATATTAGTGGCA